GTGTGTTTTTGTCTTAAAAAGTTTTTTGAGAAGAACAATGTTCCACGTTGGTGTCTTAAGCCAACCTGTCTCTTGTGTCACTGTATACATGTTGTCTACGAATAATAAGAAGCCACCACATATATAATAAAGTTTTTTTAATCCCCGACAATATTTACACGTGTCAGCCTGTTAGTGTAATAGTTGTTGTTGGCCATTTTGACACGTGTTATTATTGTACCAAATAAAAAAAGTTGTGACATTGAAAAATACATTGCTCCTATGCATTATTTTAATAAATAATAAAATTCAAACAATGTGAGAGAAATTTGATGATTACTGTAACGTTTTTTTCATATAAATTGAAATGAAAATAATAATTTATTTAACCCATTTAAATAAGTATATGTTCTCTTCGAATATGAACATTCGTGGATTGGCATGTATTAAGGAGCAAATGAAATATATAGTATATGATTTTGGGATTAAGATAAATAAGTTGAATCAATTAGAGAGAACTTTGAGAAGTGATTAGGAGATGGAGTAAATGAAACATATCGTTAATTAAAATTAAGATGAGTTAAATCAAGAGACAAAAAAACTAGATATAAATAATAGATGTGGGGGGGGGGGGGGGGTTGCTTTGAACGAAGGTAGACAATAAAAGTGTATGCGAGAGGGTAGAGCCCTTGATCTTTACAAGAATGTAATTAACTTTAATATTAAGGAGCCAATTTAGAACATTTATAGTAGATTAAAAGAAAGAACAAACTCATATGAAAGTTCTCTAGAAAAAATAGTTGTTGTTGAATCAACTGTCAAATATGTTCTTACTCACGAATCTGTTGTTCTAGTTCAGACTAGGCTATCTCCAAGAAAATGGGGGTCAAGGGGAGTCCATGTCATTGCCCTAATACGCGTTGCCTGAAGTAATTAAAAAAAAATGTGACATTTAATAAAAAAGGCACCCTTATAATTTATGCCACGCTTTTTAAATGTTTAATCTAATGACCTACCATTATAAAAAAATAAGTCAAGTCTAAATGTCTAATTCCAAGTTAATTAATGATCTCATATCAATCATTTTAATTGTCATTCCATACCATGATTGTTCTTGTTAATCAACTTTCCATTTGAACAATAATATCATTTTGGTTAGGAAAATGACCACGTTTTTTATTAGAATTTCTTAAATATTCAATAAATACTTTCGATAAAAAAAAGTTTCAATTTTTTCAACTAGTTTATTACACAGTGTGAGAGGTTAATTTCCCATGATCACTCAACTTTAAATCAGTGTTTGTAATTAAAAAGTTATTCAACTTTATCTAAATATCATACGACTTCTACCCATTAGTGCGATGGGACTATTTGGACCTTTTTAAATTATTATTTTTACGAGGGTATATATTTGATACTCCACATAAGATAATATTAGGGACTTCTACGAGCCAATAGGTTCCCAAATGTCATATATATATTACTATATTACTATATAAGAAGAGTGAATTTTATTCACTCTTCTTTCGACACGTGGCACCAAGATGGCCCACCTATCACAAAGATGCCCACCTACTTTTATACACTCCTTTCATTATATTTTAATTTTTTCCTTTTTAAATAGTACTAAAAAATAAATTTAAAATATTACAAATTCGATTAACTCTCAAAATTTTACGCGAATTCTATAATTAAGACGAAGGGAATAACATATATTATTTGAAAAATTACTATATAATTACTACTCTTCTTATATAGTAATATTTTAATTTTTTCCTTTTTAAATAGTACTAAAAAATAAATTTAAAATATTACAAATTCGATTAACTCTCAAAATTTTACGCGAATTGTATAATTAAGACGAAGGGAATAACATATATTATTTGAAAAATTACATTAAGAATACCATAAACCACAATAGTTAACAACTTACAATATTTGAAAAACATATTAACTCTCAAAATTTCACATGTGTCACATAAATTGGGACAAATGGAGTAACATATATTATTTGAAATTACGTTAAGAATATTATTAATCACAACTTAAAGTATTTAAAAATACATAACATATATTATTTGAAAATAATGTAAAAAATATTATAAATCATAATAATTAACAATTTAACGGATATTGTGCCCGTGCTTCCATTTAGAAGTGAGAATGTTTAGGAGCTTAGGGTTAGTCAGTCAATTGACCGATTTGCCCTTCTTCTTCAACTTCCTCTATTTACTACAAAAATAGTACTAAAAATCAATTTAAAATATTAAAATTTTGGTTAATTCTTGAAATTTCACATGTATTGCATAATATAATAGAGTAGTAACATATATTATTTGAAAATTATATAAATAGTACTAAAATATAGTTTAAAATAGTACTAAGAATTTGATTAACTCTCGAAATTTCATATGTACTGCGTAATTGAGATTGAGTGAGAAATATATATTATTTGAAAAATAGAATAAATATGTGATATTATTAGAAAGAGCTTTAATATATATTTTAAAAATTATTTTGTCTTCCGTATATGATTTTCTGCATATATGTGGAGTTTTAAAGTTTTTAACATTTTAATATAGAAATATGATTATTTGAAAATTTTAGTACTTTCTTCATTTAAATTTTTCCTTGTTTTTCTTTTAATTTGTTCTAGATTTAAAAATTACATAAAAAGTACTTAAAATCACAATGTAATAATATAAGATATTAAAAAAACATAATTAAAAATCATAAAAGAAATTTTATTGACTCTTTAATTCCATATTGAAACATAAGAAGTTTGTTTGAAAATAACATAAAAAGTAACGTAAATTAAAGTAAAATAACAACTAAAAATATTGAAGAATCATATAAGAAATTTAGTTGACTTTCGTAAAAGTACCTACGTCACATAAAATGGAACAGAAAGAGTAATATATATTATTTGAAAATGATATAAGAAGTGCTATAAATCACAATAAATTAACAACTTCAAAATATATTTAACAAAATCACATACAAAAAATTATATAACTCTCCAAATTTCATCGGTGTCACATAAATTGAAACAAAGAACTACTCCCAATTTATGTTATTTACTTTCCTTTTTAGTCAGTCCCAAAAGAATGTCACATTTCTATATTAAGTAACAATTTGATTATAAAATATTTATTTTACCCTTAATGAAATAATTTGCAGTCATACAAATTTATATCATTCATTTTGGACCACAAATTTTAAAAGTCTTCATTTCTTTTTTAAACTCCGTAGCGAATCAAACTACCTCACATAAAATGAGACGGAGGAAGTAATATACATTGGACCCGCGCTGGCGCGGGAACCTAATAACTAGTATAAGATAAATCACAAACGTTAATTATATTATAATCCTTTCCCATTATTAAAAACGAGTATAAAGGGTGCCATGTAAAGCCATTATTGGTTCATGAATCAATTGTTTTGTGGGGGAAGGGTACCCTTTCTTTTTTTATTCCAATTGATCACCAAGACAATTTATCTGATAATCGTGACTCAGAAAAGAAAAGAAGTACACAAAGAGAAAAAGAAAAAATAATAGTGTTCTCTTTTTTTATATTCAATTGGTGTTCGATATATATACATGTATTGAAATTTGACTGATTAATTCGGATTCACACACTGAATATAGTAAGTTTTTTTCATTATCAAAGATTTAAATTTAACGTCTAATTAACTATCTCACTTCAATCCACGTCGATGAACATATTTAATCTTGGTACACATTTCTACAATATTGTCAATCCTAGGTCCACCGTCCATTGCACTCACCCACATAGTACTAAGCTAAAAAAAGCAAATTATCTTAATCCTCCTCAATGTTCGAAATTATTACTTATGCTATCCAATTTAGGTGATGTTTAATTAGTCATAAAATTTGAAAAAGTAAAAACAAACATTTGAAATTTGTTACATTTAAAACAAAATTCTAAAATTTGGTTGACTATGAATCATTTTATCAGAATTAATACGAGAAGTTTAAAATCAAAATTATTTTTATTATTGATAAGAGTTTGATCCCTTCATACAAACATCAAGTATATCAATTGTGAAAAGTATGAATGAGCTAGCTTAATTTCAATTTTTATGTTAATAGTTTGATATATTTTGAATACGTTATGACAATATCTTTGACATTATTTTTTTCTAGATATTTTCCACAAATATCAATACTATGAATTCAATTACAAATCAACTCTTAAAAATTCCTTCAACCCTTTTCTTTTTCTCGCATTACACTATTTGTTTATGATGAGTGATGACAAAGAAAAAAAAAAAAGGCAATTCTTTTCCTCTAATTTATCATAACATTTCTATCTAAGGATATGATCGACGTGTATCCTATTCTTTTCGGACTATATTTCATTACAACCTTTCTATATACGATTACTCAATTAAGATAAGATTTGTATTTATTTTATCCTTTTTAGACTTTGCTCTATTATAATCTTTCTATCCATAATTAGGATAAGCTCTACATGTATCATATTCTTTTTAGACTTTACATTATTGAAGAAATTACATAATTAGACATATTCACTATCATATATAATGTTATTATTTATACTTTTGAAATATTACGTATCTTAGCTCTAATTAAGAGTTTCCTATCATATACTGAGAAAGATACATTTAAATACATGTATTTTTGCTACCAGATACTTTAAAATAAGGAGAGAGACAACATATATTTTTTTATGTATCCTAGGTACATGCGAATCCACTTAAATATAATATATCTAGAACAAATTTGACCATGTATCTGAATATACCTGGACACGACAAAATATGATAAAATACGTAATATTCAAAGTAAAGAATATCTAAGTTATTAGCTTTCTATCCACAACAAAGATATGATTTGCATATATTTTATTATTTTTCATAATTCACTTATAAGATTATACTGAATATATTATTTATTTAAATTTGTTGGAATTTTGGACTTGGAGAGTCCTATAAATAGGACAGCAGGAGTTGTTTCAGAGTGCTCACAACTACAACTAAGTTCCAACAGTTGTAATAAGAAACAAGAAATACTTTGTCTTAGATAGTAACACCCAAACTCTTGATCTTTTCATTGCTATTCTTCTTCTACCATTGTAAATTTCATCAAAAAAATAACAATGGTGGTTTTAACAGAACCAGACATTGATCACTTACCAATAATCATCAACTCTTGCAAATCCCCCTCTTTCTTCAATGATATTCCTGTGATAGACCTCTCTAAACCCGATTCCAAGAACCTCATCGTTAAGGCCTGCGAAGAATTCGGATTCTTTAAAGTTGTAAACCATGATGTTCCTATGGACTTCATAAGTAAACTTGAATCCGAAGCCATTAATTTCTTTTCCTCTCCCCTCTCTGAGAAGCTAAAAGCAGGGCCTGCTGACCCTTTTGGTTATGGCAATAAACAAATCGGACAAAGTGGCGATGAAGCCATTAATTTCTTTTCCTCTCCCCTCTCTGAGAAGCTAAAAGCAGGGCCTGCTGACCCTTTTGGTTATGGCAATAAGAAAATCGGACAAAATGGCGACATCGGTTGGGTTGAATACATTCTCCTTTCAACAAACTCTGAATTCAATTACCAGAAATTCGCATCTGTATTAGGTGTAAATCCAGAAAACATTCGGTAAGTCATTAAAACAAGGGAAAACAGAGTGATGTCTTTAAATTTCGATTCTTGTTTTTATCATTTCTTGATTTTTGTTATTGTTATTGCAGGGCTGCGGTAAATGATTATGTGACAGAAGTGAAGAAAATGTCATGTGAGATTCTTGAAATGTTGGCGGAGGGATTAAATATTCATCCGACAAATGTTTTCAGTAAGCTTTTGAAGGATGAAAAGAGCGACTCTGTTTTCCGCCTGAATCACTATCCTCCATGTCCTGATATTCAAGAATTCAATGCCAAAAATTTGATTGGATTTGGAGAACATACCGATCCACAAATCATATCGGTTTTAAGATCCAACAACACTTCCGGCCTTCAAGTTTTACTCAAAAATGGCAACTGGTTTTCCGTGCCACCTGATCAGAATTCTTTTTTCATCAATGTTGGCGACTCATTGCAGGTACGTAACCTACACCCATCAAATTTTGTACTTGTCTTGTTAAATAGTGAAAGTTTTATGACGGTTCAGAACTCATAAACTAAAAATCCTGAATATGCGTGCAGGTGATGACTAATGGAAGGTTTAAGAGTGTGAAGCATAGGGTATTGACAAACAGAGTGAAATCAAGACTATCAATGATATATTTTGGAGGACCACCATTGAGTGAAAAAATAGCACCATTGCCATCACTAATGGAAGGAGAAGAAAGCAGCTTGTACAAAGAGTTTACATGGTTTGAGTACAAAAAATCTGCTTTCAAATCTAGACTGGCAGAAAACAGATTGACCCTGTTTGAGAAATTTGGAGCCTCATAGTGATTTTTCGAACGAGAGACAAAATCAGAATTTAAAGTTTATCGTTATATGTACATATTTCAATAGATTTCGCGATAAATATACCATATTTGGATCAAAAGGGTAGTTGATATCGAAAAACTCAAATGATTTTTCCTTTGATAATGTAACAATGTGTCGTTCATCAAAACTCAAATGTTTTTAAGTCCATTGTTATTCCTTTCTTTTATCGATAAAGGTTCATTCTGAATTACAAGAAATTTTTATATTTGACCCCCCATAATTTAAAAATAAATAAATTATATTACAATTTATTTGATTTCATAGTTGAAAAGTTTGTGTATGTGAACCATTGATATTGAAGAGATTTTTTTTTTCTGGATAGGGTTATGAGTAGGAATTTATGAACAAGTTTGTGATAGCGTGTACTATCATCAACCAAGTTATATATATATATATATATACTGATGATACTTCACATGATTATTCCAATTTTGTTTTCACAAAAATAACAAAGAATGTTCTTGTATTTATGCTTCTTTCTCACAATATTAAATGTCATCAACAATGGAACAAAAAGAACATCACCAATGATTTGATATTTACAGCAATTCTTTATTTCTTTCAATCAAATCAACTAGAATTGACAACTGGAACACATATCAATTATAAAAAAGGTCTGTCTATGAAAATGAAGGTTGTCCATGATATTTGAAGAAACAGTCTAGTATACTGAGCTTTCGTTAAGTCCGAAATTTGAGGAAAGGTCGGACCACAAATCCTATCCTACATTTTCCTACAGACTATTTCCATGTCCCGAACTTTTACATAAAATAAATCCAATTGAAGAAACAATGAAATATACAAAAATAGTTCATTGTTTGAATAGTTAACAAAGTTATTAAAAATAAATGAACAAAGTCTTTTTTCCCCTCCATTTTTGGGGTAGGGCCGCGCCAATGAAGGTCCGCACTGTCACACATTATGTTATAAGTTCAGCCACTTGGGTCAACTTCAGGCAGGCACCCCTCCAAAGTGTAATAGAAGGCACTAACCTAAGTCATGAGCCTTATTGATCGTTCATTAACCTCGTTTAGGTAAATGCAATAGAAGTCACCAACCTAGGTGATGCATCTTTTATTATTTATTTTTTTAAAGAAAAGGTCATTTAAGGCAGAAAGTGATATATTCAGCCACTTTACCTTATTTTTTAAGCCAAAAATAAAAAATAATATTAAACTCAATTCATTTTAACCAAGAACCACCTGCCCACTCAATATTTGACTGGTAAGCTCCTTTTTAAATGACAAACACATGGGATAAAAAGGTCCAGAATGACAAGTTTAGTGCTTGTAATTGATTTTTGATCACTAGAAAATTCACTAATTGAAGCTAGATAACTTCGTTTATGAGTTCATCTGAGATGTCTTTTTTTGTTCTAGCACCCTAAAGTCTAAAGCTCTAGATTGAGCACGAGTAAGATTATTGACACAATTTATGTGGTAGATTTGGAAGTTAGGATTTGATATCCAAGTCATCAAGAGAAATTTTGAAGTATCTGGGGTCAATAATTCAAGAAAGTGGAGAGATTGACGATGGGTGAAATGGAAGTCCGCATAAAGTGTCTTATGTGATAAGAATGTGCCATCAAACTTTAAAGGTAAGTTATATAAAATGGTGATCGTATCTGTCATATTGTATGGGTAAAGTGTTGGTCGGTCAAGAACCCGCAATTCAAGAATATGAGAATCGCGAAAATGAGGATGTTGAGATGAATATGTGGGTATACTAGGAGAGATAAGATTAGGAACGAAGCTATTCATGACAAGGTGGGAATGGATTCCATGGTGGACAAGATGAGGGAGGCGAGATTGAAATGGTCCTAGCATGTGAAGAGAAGATGCACATATGCCCCATTAATGAGATACGAGAGACTGACTATAGAAGGTATAAGGAGAGGTAGAGGTAGGCTGAATTTTTTTTTGGAATAGAGGTAATTAGACAACACATGACTCACTCTAAGCTGACTAAGCATATGACCTAGATAGGAAGATATGAAGATCGAACTTTAGAAGGAGGTCAGTAGGTAATCGAGTGTTGTTTAACATACTTATCATTATATTTATAATTACTCTAAAGCCATCTTATTATATTCTTCAATTTTAGTTTTTGTTATTGTTGTTTCTTTTGCTTCAGTTATGGTATTATTTGTTGTTGTTACTTGGTCTCTTCTAGGTTGTTCCCAAGATGATTTCTTTTATACTACATTTGTTTTACATGTTTGATTTTTGATATGTTTTACTTGAGCCAAGAGTCTATTGAAAATATACTCTCTACATTCACAAGATAGCAATAAGACTACGTTCGTACCATGCTCCTCAAACTCCACTTATAAAATCACAATGGGTATGTTATTGCCTTTTTTTTGTTTCTTATAACTTAAATTATTATGTTAGATTACTTAATTGTCAACAAACCAACTATCTTTTGTTCAAGAATCAAAAAGAAAGAATACAATTTGTCAAGGGGGTAGTATAGATTGGTAATTGTATTCCAAATCTGATGCACCAAGAAGAAACTCTTGAAAGCTCTTGCTTTTTTGGCCCATTGACCCAACAAACATACTTTGTAGTCATGCCCAAGTTGCCACCAAATACTTGGCCCAGATATATATAAATTATGGTTAGATTATATGATCTAGTATAAATATTGAGTGCAAAATAAGTACTTTTTTGTATGTTCAAGATTATTTAGTGAATTTGTGTGAACTTGAAAAATATAGAATGGTAATTCTTCTCCAAACTATGGTTGTTTATGGAATTTCCTCTTTTTAAATATTAAAGACTCTCAAATTAAACTAGACTAGATGAAAAACATTACTTTGAGAACTTCACAATTCATGCTTTAGAAATCAAACAATGCAAAACTTTTTTTTGGTTTGTAATTTTCTTGTTTCCTCAAATAAAACCTACTAAAATGAAAGCTCAAAATGTCAAGATTAGACCCCGAAGATACATTAAAATGGTGTAAAACATAGGATCGATTGAAAATTAGATGATCATAATCATATCGTCCTAGCTATATTAACAAAGTCTTCTTCATTTGTCAGAAAACCTTTGTTTGCTTCTCTCCGGATATGGATGATATTTATCTTGATGGCATCAAGCAAAAACTTGCAACCTCTTATGATATCCCATTCTTTTACGAATAATTTCTTCTGATCAATTACAAATTAAATAGAATAAAATGACCGTGTTTAGATATTTTATATATAAAAAAGATCCATTGCAAAAGAAGACATAAAACTAAAAACAATTTTTGGAAATTTTCTCTGTCCTCTTTGATTGGTTTAATTTTTTACTTCCTATTTGTCTCACTCCCTTTCTCTAATCATAATAATCCAACGGTTGGGTCCATCCTATCAATTTCCTAGCCAATAATAGTATGCCACGTGTGTAAATATGTGATAATTGTACATAAAAATTTCCGTGAGTCATTAAAGTGTGAGAATGCCATAAGAAATTATTGTCTTATGTTATGTTCTTACCAACTAAGGAATCAAAGAATCTTTGTTGGGTTTTAGACTTGTAGAGAAGCAAGAAGAAGAAAAAAAGACCTATAAGGGTTAAACTGGTCTTTTAGATTTTATCCATCAAAGGAAAAAAAAAAGGTATGCTGATAGTTTTCCCATGTTGGGTTTTTACCTAAATACTCATTTTTTTTCCATCTGGGGTTGACCTTTTGTGAATGAATATGAGTTAAAGTTTCAATTTTTAGTACATGGTGTTGATAAAGATTGTCTTTTTATCTTGAAGTGAGAAAATGTGTATATTTATCTTTGTTGTGTACTATTTTCTCTTTTTTGATTTGGTTGTGTGAGTTTAATTTGGGGAAGGTTAAGAAAATAAACAAGACTTTTAAATCTTGTTTGATTAATGTTGTAGAAGGTATGAAATGTCATTTAATTTCTCTTACTTGAAAAAAGCTGAGGTTTGAATTTTCAGTTTGAGTCATTGGTTGGTAACTACTGGACTTAACTTTTGCAATCCCCTTTCTTAATTTAGATTGTTGATCTTATTTTTGGATGTTATGCATAATTTCTTTTGGTACATTAGAAAGAAAAATAAACTTAATAAAAAAATTAAAGTTGTTCATAAGCAATATGATTAAGTTCGCTAGGAGAAGAAACTTAATGTTCTTAAGTGCTTGAGTCCAGAGTATTACAGGGCCTCTTGCCCTCTTCATGATTGTGATTCTCTATAACCAAGTAGTCTCTGGATACGCGCTTTGTGCGTGTACATGAACATATTCACGAGTATGTAAGATTAAAAAATTGCATAAATGCAATATAACAATGCTTTTGACTTAATTAGATATTTCATCTGTCTCAACTTATTTGACATCGTTTGATCGGGCACCTAAGTTGCTCGGACTCGGGTGCGGGTATCCGAGACGGATGCGAATCCGAGAGTCGGATTCGGCAAAATTTAAATTTTAAGATTCGGGGGTGCGAATCCGAGTATGGATACGGGTGCGGGGATTCGGCTAAAATTATTCAATATTATAATTATAATAATAATAATAATAATAATAATA